CTCCCCCCCCACCAGTGCTGCTTCCCTCTCCCATTCCTCCAGCCCCTCCATCCTTCCCTCCAGCCCCACAGCCCCCGATCCCTCCCAGCTCTGCTTTCCACCCCTCTTCCAGCCAGCTCTGCCCCCTTCTCCTCCCTGCGTGGCACCCCGCCCCCCTTCCTCTCTCTCTCCCTCCGTGGCGCACTGCGCCGCTCAACTGGCCCCAGCTGAGCGGCGCTCCCACCGGCCCCAGGTGAGCGACGGCCGCTTGTCGCCCCAGGCCCAGCTGAGCGGTGCTTCCACCGGGCCCAGCGGGAGAGCAAGTGGCCGTTTGGGGTCAGCGCTCCCCACGTGTGGGGAGCATGGACCCCAAAAGGCCACTTGCTGCCTCTTGCTCCCCTGCCGGGGCCCAGCTGAGCGGCGCAGCGCTCGGCCGAACCGCCATGGAGAGAGGGGAAGAGGGGCAGGGCGCTGACATACACGGCCGGGGGGCGTGGCTGTGTACATCAGCGTTACAGACTCACAGACAATGGGCTACTATATATATGATGATAAGTATTATGTTCATAGGGTAGTCAAAGTCCATATCTGGTAGCCTCAGAAATCCATTTTAGATTGCTCCCATACTCAGTAAAACGATAGACTTTTAAAGTTGATGGTATGTCTCATGCTAGTGAAGGTTTTTGGTCCCACTGTAATTTCATCTGCAAAGTGTCCACATCTCTTTAACAGCATGCGTGAGCAAGCATAATAATGGAGTTTGAGATTCATAATGATACATTTTGGAGGGGAGAAGTCCCCTTTAATAGCTATTTTTACCCTTGGTAGTCAATACAGAAGGGGATCCTTGTTGGCTATGATGCTGGTGGGATTCAAACCCAACACCCTTTGTGCTAGAGACCAAAGCCTTATTCATGAGGCCATCATAGGATGTGGCCCAGTGTTCTACCTTCAGCATATAGATTATTCTGTCCATCTTCAGCCTGGCACCAGCTCCAGTCTTGGGCAGGCCCTTATCAGTTACAGCACCCTTACCTCGAAGTAAGCTACACAATTTGCACTAGGCACATTGCATAGCTTATTTTGAGGTTATTTCAGAATAGCTTATTTTGAAATTTGGCGCTAACTACACAGCGCCACATTTCAAAATACAGGCAGTCCCCGAGTTACGCGGATCCGACTTATGTTGGATCCGCAGTTACGAACGGGTTCCTCTCCCTGGTCTCCAGCAGACCAGGGAGAGGAAGCAAAGCGGCGGAACACGTGGGCAGCGGACAGGGCTGTCCGCTGCCCACGCGCTCCGAGGCTTGGCTCTGCTTTGCCTCCCCCCCCCCGGTCTGCAGACCAGGGGGACGGGGGGACGGGGGCAAAGCAGAGCCAAG